AAGAGGAGGAATGCAGGCAGGAAATATCACTGCTGCTGGATCAGCCTGGATTTAGCTCTGAAATTAAACAGCCTTGGGGGATCCCAGGATAAATAAAGGTGAATAAATGGCTCCGGAGAGGAGATATCATCAAGGCTGGGCTCACGGAGCAAGGCTCTGCTGGGCTGGTGGCTGTTTCTGCAGGAAGTGAGACCCTTGGAAGGGCAGCAGCTGAGTGCCTGCCCCTAAACAGAGGGAAAATACACATTTATTTGCTGGGGGGCACGGTAAGCAGAGTCTGAGGGGGTCTCCTGCCTGGGGAGGCTGTGGGTGAGGTCCTACTGCCTGCATCCACCAGGCTTGGGCTCCGTCAGCTTCCAAGAGCTGGCGGAATTGCAACCTCGGGAAGCAACATGAGCAAGCCAACATCTGATTTTCCATTTTGGGTTGGTTTAATGCACCAACCGGGACCCTTGAAATTCCAATGGAAGCAACAAGGTGAGGAAAAAAAAAATCCTTGCAATGGTTTGGGATGGTTTTGAGGGAAAAAGCATCTCACAAAGGACCTGAAGGCAGGAAGGAAACGTTGGACACCCTTCAGGTGCTTTCTCCATCATTTAGGATCCACGTGACGGTTGTGAAGCCTCCAGGAGCGAAACCAGACTAAAATAAATGCCGGACACTTCATGTGACAAGACACAACGTTTTGGATGGGGACAAAAAAGCCACCCGAGGAAGTGAGGGCTTAATCACCTCAATCTGGAGATGGCTTCATCATGGCTCTCACGGAAAACCGCTATTCAAGGGCCAGACAAAAGGAGCTGAGTATAATCAGGAGCCAGTGTGTTGAGCCACGTTCCCCCACACAAACAGCATCTTCAGAGATGAAAGAACAATTTACAAAACAAAGGCACGGCAATTTTTCCAACTGATAAAGAGCCCAACAATGGATATTTACCCACTAATGAACGCAGGGAATGGCTGTGGAGGGAATCTTAATGAGGTGAACTCCTGTCCAAGGAAATCTCAGTGCTGGGAAAGACAACTTATCGACCCGTTGGAGCGAGTCCAGAGGAGGCCCGGGAGATCCTCCGAGGGCTGGAGCCCCTCTGCCATGGGGACAGGCTGGGGGAGTTGGGGGGTTCAGCCTGGAGAAGGGAAGCTCTGGGGAGATCTCAGAGCCCCTTCCAGGGCCGGGGGGGCTACAAGAAAGCTGGGGGGGCTTTTCCCAAGGGCAGGGAGTGACAGGACAAGGGGTGACGGGTTTAAACGAAAGGGTGGGGATGGAGATTGGACATCAGGAAGGAATTCTTCCCGCAGAGGGTGGGAGCACTGGGACAGGTTGCCCAGAGAAACTGTGGATGCCCCATCCCTGGGAGTGTCCAAGGTCAGGCTGGATGAGGCCTGGACCAACCTCATCTAGTGGAAAGTGAAATGGGACTGGATGATCTTTAAAGTCCTTCCCAACCCAAACCGTTCTGTGATTCCAAGATGACTTCAGTGTCCACTGCCTGATCCCATTGGTGCCTCTGGAGAGGAACGGAGCATCATCGCGTGGTGTGTGAAAGAAACGGGGGAGAAAAGTGCTCAGGATTACAGCCATCTCTTTTACACCCAAATATTGCAAACTCCTGCTGAGAAAATTAGTTGCCGTATAATTAACTCAGAATTATATTGGCAATAAATATGTAATTATATTTGTACTAGGACGGGCGGCTTGCTCTTACAAATGACATTTAGCGGAATAAATGAAGCAGCAAAAAGTCCATCGGCATCCCCTAAAATGCTGGTTGGCATTTTTTTGTTATTGTTTAAAACTGATTTACCAGCAGAAATGAAACATGGGAAGACCATCCTTCCCACGTCTGGATGGGGGAAGAGACGATCCCGGTCTGCGTGTGGTTCTGTGACGTGTCATCGTGCGGTAATTTCGAGTCTGGGCATGATCCTCGTGTCACTTGGGCAGGAATCCCACCCTCACACACCCGTCTCGGCTCGGGATGCAGCAGCAAAGACTCCAGCCAACATCCCCAGACCCCCAAGCCATGGGGCAGGCTCTCACTGTCCCTAAAAATACATTTTTCCTGGGAAAACCTGCCTAGGGGAGAAGGACTCTGAAGGCCACCTTCCTCCATCTGCCTCTGCAGGGGTAAAAAGCCAAGTTGGGTATTCCCAAGGCTCACCTCATCCCTCCAGGACTCTTGGGTGGTTTCGCTTTTGTCCGGCTTTGCCGAAGGCTGCACGTCTTCCCATGATTCAGCAACCGGAAAGCAGTTGGGGTTTCTCCAGGCTTTGCTGGTACCCATACGGGGTCCTGGCTCCTGCTGGACTAGCCCAGGCGATGGGAAACCCTTCAGCTTCCCACTGGATTGCAGCCTTCCCCCTAGGATTCACCTTCATGGAATAAGCCCTGACATCCGCGAGGAAGCAGCTTTTGGGGCTTCTCTTCCTTCCTAGTGATGAGGGAAAATGGAAAAAGGACAGGAAAGCAGATGGGGGTGTGGGGAAAACCTCTTTCCCACCAGATTAAGGCTTTCCTGGGCTGTACCCCTCCTTCTTTAACTCCCCCCTCTGCTTCTCATTCCTCACTGCCAGCTAATTAAGGAGCTGAACCTGCTCTGAACCCATCAGGTGCCACATTTTACCGCTTTCAGCATTAATTCAACCCGTAATTGAGTCCTTTTTGTTTTCACTGGCAGGGCAAGCCACCCCATCCTTCTCCGGGTACACACGGAGGTGATGCTCCGAGCATGGCTGCAAGCCGAATCGGGCTCTCCTCGCTTTCGACCCCTCCTTTTGACTGCAGGAGCTTTCTGGGAAGCAATTCTCCGGTACCGGTGAAAAATACGTTTTCATCTAAGAAATGCCAGCCCCATCCATCCTGCTCTGACAGCAGCCTGGGACAGGAGAGGATGGATTGAGGGAGGACTCCCCCAACCCCCTCCCTACAATGGGTGTTGCTTCTCCTTTCCTTGTAGCCTGGGAGCTTCCAGGCAGGTTTTTTGAGCAGAGGGAGGCTCATGGAAAAAATAACCCGTGCACAGGCATAAAGTTAATTCCTCATGGAAGGGGAATACGAGCATCCAGGCTGCTCAGAGCCAGCCCTACAGATCCCAGTGACCCTAATCAATGACATAGGCAGGCAAAACAGGGAGTCCTTGCCCCAAATTGCTCACAGGTTTAATTACTGGAGTTCAGACGAGCGTGGAGGCTGTATGTGCAAACATGCCAGCCCCTTCCCTGCTCCGGCAGCGAGAGGGATGGGTTTGGGAATAAGCAGATCAGCTGCAGGCTGACAAGTTAAATATACGTTTGTAGAAAAGGAAAAAAACCCCTGAGCAGGAAGGTGTCTGTGCAGGGAGTGAGCTCCGAACAGCTGCCTGGGAAGCTCCCGCAGTTGCCAAGGTTGTGGTTGGGATAACAGATGGGAAAAAGGCTGTGGGTGATGGAGCATGGGGGAAGGGGATGGGGCAGCCCTCTCCCCCCATGGGCAGAAATCCCATGCACTTGAGCTAACAGGGCCCAGAGCTCAGCAATGCCATCAGTTATGGGGGGGTTGAGCTGCTTTCCTTCGGGAAATTAGGTCTGTGGGTCCTCTCTGCCCCCATCCCTGTGCCCCAGCCCTACTCTGCTCTGTGCTTTAAGGGTTGCAGCTCCATGATGGTTTTGTAGCCTTTCCAGGGGCTCCCATGCTCCATCCTGGCCCTGGGATGGAGCAGCGCTCTCTGGTTTTCCCTGCCAGCAGCCCCAGAGCCACATCCATCACCAGGAGCAGATCATCAGCTGCACCCCGAGGTGCCAAACCAGGGACCCCCATCACTAGGGCTCACCCCATAAGCAACCAACCAGCATGGGGGTGTCATCCCCCATGAAAATATCCCCCAGTGCCCCAGCCCAAAGCCTCAGGAAGGACCCTGCTGCTGCAGGATTTGGGGGCTGCACCCAGCCAGGGGGGCAACAGTGCAGACCCCAGCTCCCAATCCCCATATCCCTGGATAAGAGGGGGACTTGACTCCCCCCCAGCCCATCAGGCAGCCAGCTCCTGCTGTTGTGGCAGCTAATTTTAGAATTTATTTATTAACATTTTAACACGAAACGTGCATGAAATATTCACCCGGCGTGACGAGGCATTTTGTGGCGAGGGAAGCCTTAAATATTTAAGAGGCATTTTGCAGTATCGGTGGCAGGAAGCGTTTCTGTCTGACTCACAGCACCAACGCTACGATTTGAGCTCAGCTCGTCTTCGCTGCGGCTCTGAGCTACGTACCCCGTCCTTGTGGGGGACGGTTGGAGGTGGTGAGGGGGTTCAAACCCCCCCCAGTTCTGCAGAGGGGAGCTGCTCTGCTGCAGGAGGGTCTCTTCCAGGTTGTTTTGCAATGGGGGGAGTAAAATCCTTTTGCCACTCACTCCCCCAGCTCAGCAAACCGGGGAAAAAAGCCTCAAGGTTAAGCCTGGCTTCACCTCCAAGGGACGAGCTGCATTTAGATGACCAGAGGCCGGATTTTCTTTATTCCGCCTCTCAAGAGCAGGGATGCTCTGGCAGCAGCTGGAACGGGCACGCAGCTTAACAAAAACCTGCACAAACCCCAGTACTCCCCATACCCGATCCTGTTAAGGGAGGCGTTTCAGAGGAGCCTGTTTCGGAGCAGGGATGACAGGCTGTAAAGCCCTTTAGAAGGGCCTGTTGGAATAACAACCTTCCCGTGGAGCAGAGTAAACCAGCACCATCGTCTGCTGTGTCAGGAGAAGAATTTGTGTCTAAAGCCACAGGATTAAGGAGGCATCGAGCGGAGTTTGAGACCGTTACAAAGCTGAGCCTGTCAAACTGCAGCCAGAGAAGAGGTAAGGCTTGCTCCAGCCCCAAATCAGGGCTCCCCACAAATTTCAAGCCAAGCTTGGAGAGAAACATCCCCGATCTCACCAGTTTTAGAGTCCTGAGATGAGCAGCCACGAGGACACGGTGATGGAAGGTGGTTTCATGCCGCTGGAGGAAGAGCTGCCCAATATCCGGGCGGCGTAGGTCAGGTAGAGCCGAACATCTCCTGGGAAGCATAGGTCAGGTAGAGGAAGCCATCCTCATCCTTGTTGTCACGGTACAGCTCCTGCATGGTGATGGCCATGTTTGGCAGCCCTTTGTTGTTCACCAGCAGGTAGAAGGTCTGGGAGGAGGCCAGGCAGAGCCGTGTCCTGCTGAGAGGAAGGGGGAGACAGCAGGGGGGTGAGTAGTGCCCAGTGGGGCAAACCTGAGGGTGTCCCCATGCATGGGTCGTCCCCGTGGTTCCAGTTTCAGCGTCACCTCACTTTGGTACCAGCCACCCACGGGCAGGAAGGTGGGTGCTAGGGCAGGGCCAGCTGCTCCCCAAAACATCTGGAAGGGCCAACCCCCAGCCACAAGCTCGTCCATCCCTCCTTCCCTTGCCAGGAGGTGTTGGTCCTTGGGAGGGATTTCAAGCAGAGCACCAGGGTTTCAATTCAACTGCAGCAGTGCTGCTCGTTTGCAGGGCTGCTAATCACCTACCCCCAATTAGCAATTTACCTGTGCTGCAGATCCCCGGGAACAGAGCTAATTGCCACCTTTTATCCCAGGGAGGGTGGTGGAATTCTGCCATGTGCTGGCAGACAAAGGATCTTTACTAATTGCAAAGGCTAATTGCATTAGGCTAAGCCCAAACACTTGCCTAAATGGAGTAAATATCTGAAGTAGCCAAAGTGGCTTCCAAGCCAAGCTGTTCCACAGGACCAGCCACATCTAGACCGGGATTTAGCACTGGTCCTGAGCTGCAGACCCCTCGCCCTTGCCCCAGGTAAGCCTTGGCCCCGCTGCAACAGCATCACTTACCGCAGGGTGACAACAAACTGGGACAGGGGCAGGTCATGGGACACCAGAAACTTGGTCCTGCTCAAGGGGGGCAAGGTCTTCTCCTTCTGGTAGCGTTCCACAACCACCTGCAGCGGGAAGAAGGTGCTGGAGGGGGAGGCAGGGACCACTCTGGGACCACTCTTGCAGGGGTACCCAGAGAAGCAGAGCCACCACCTTCAGAGTCAAGCCACGTCCTTAGCAAAGACTCCCACGGCTTGCCTTTCGGCTGGCCACCAAGAGAGCGGGGTGTAGCCCTTACCGGGATCTTGTTGGGATATTTGATCCGGATTTCGGTCACTTCATGCATCCTGGTAGCTGGGGAAGAGAAAAGAAGGAGTGATAAGCACTGCCCATCACCGTGTCGCTGCTCCCCTCGTCCCGAGTAACGCACCGAGGCTTTTCCTTTGCTTGAAGGGGCGAGAGCTGCTGTTGTCTGGATACATCTTCTGGGAGGAAGGAAGAGGAGGCAGCAGGAGCTGAGCCTTCCATGGGCAGCTGCTGCTGGAAGAGCTCCTAATATAGGTTCCTCCTGCCCCACCTGGGCTGGGGGTAGGAGGGGCTGGAATGCTCTGCAGGTGCTGGGCTCTGCTGGGATGGGTGGGTGAATGGGTGGATGGATGGATGGGTGGATGGATGGATGGATGGATGGATGGATGGATGGAT